GTCCACTTTTTGTAGGATTTTTTTGAGTTTCAGGTCACTGAAGATCTCCTGGTTAAGCCACGTTTACCATACATCCTGTCTTGCCTGCGCATTGGGATAGTTTGCTCTTGTGCCTTTAATGTCTCTAAAAAACTGCCAACTCACCTGCCTTCCACAGGATCCTACCTACCAATTCTCTGAGTTTGCTGAAGTCTTCCTTCTTGAAGTCCATTGTCTTTATTCTGCTGTTTTCCCTCCTGCCATTTTGTAGAATCATGAACTTTATCATTTCATGATCACTGTCACCCAAACTGCCTTACACCTTCAAATTCTCAACCAGTTCCTCCCTGTCAAAATCAAATCCAGAATAGCTCCTCCACTATCTGCTTTCTCTATCTTCTGTAATAAAAACTTGTCCCCAGTGCATTCCAAGAACTCATTGGATAATCGGTGTCCTGCTGTATTATTTTCCCAACAGGTGTCTGGGTAGTTGAAATCCCCCATCACCATCAAGACCTGTGCTTTGAATGATTTTGTTAGTCATTTATAAAAGCCTCATCCACGTCTTCTTCCTGCTTAGGTGATTTATAGTAGACCCTACCATGACATCATCCTTGTTTTTTTACCAATTATCTTTACCCAGAGACTTTCAACAGGTCTGCCTTCCACTTCTATCTTGACCTCAGTACGTGTATACATCTCTGATATACAAGAAAACACCTCCTCCCTTTTTTCCCTGCCTGTCCTTCTTGAATAAGTTGTACTCTTGTATACCAATATTCCAGTCATATGACATAACTAGCATCTGAGACTTATTCACAATTGTGATTATTCACTAGTACTTCTAGTTTTCTGTTTATTCCCCATACTTCTTGCATTAATAATACAGACATTTAAGATGTTCATTAGATTTCTCCGCTATGTCCCCTCTTGTCTCTCCTTTGTCCCCTGCTACGATTGCCTATGTTCCCCCCAAATTCCAGCCCTTCACCCTGGTCTCCATGTTCTGGACCTACCTGTGGGCTTTTGTCTCATGCCAACATCAAACCTACTTTAAAGTGCGCCTCACCAGGTGACCAGTCTGTATCTGAAGCTTTCCTTGACAGGTGGGCCCCATCTCTGCACAGCAGTCCCCCTCAGAACAGCATCCCGTGGTCAAGGAAGCCAAAGCCCTCCTGGCAACACCATCCTCACAGCCAGGCATTCACCTCCAGGATGTGTCTGTCTCTGCCTGCGTCCCTACCCTTGACCAGAAGGATTGATGAGACCTCCACCTGCTCCCAATCTCCTTCACCCTCACTCCCAGAGTCCTATAGTCACTTCTGATCTGCTCAGTGTCCTACCTCGCAGTATTATTAGTGCCTACATAGATTAACAGTATGGGGTAACAGTCATAGGGCTGGATGACCCTTGACAATCCTTCTGTAATGTATCCGATACAGGCCCCTGGCAGGCAGCACACCTCCTGTGGTGCCTATCAGTAGGCACCTCTCACACTGGATGGTCTCCCCAGCCTGGCTTTCTATGACGGGGAAATGGGTAGAGGCATCCATGGTTGGGTTCTCTGGCTGGACACAGATGCAGGTGGAGAAGCCAGGAGCAGTGTTGGCACTGTGATATAGCCTTTCCAAACCATGATGTTTTTCTCTCTCCCGCCTATAAAATCCCTCTCAAACTTCCCTGTTTGCTGCTCCTTGGTTATTTAGCAGCTGGCTTTTAAGCCTCTCTCTCCTAGTCAGCCCTGCCCCCTCATTAACACATAGAGAAAGGGTGATCAAGACTCAGAGGCCAGGAGGTGAGAGCCTTGCTCATGCACACTCAGCTAGCTGCTAGGCGGCCTCTGGCCCCCACAACCACACAATTCCCAAAAGACCACAGTGTAAACTTTAAGCAAACCAGAAGAAAAACCAGACAGACAAGCTCACTCACCCCAAGAGTTAGCTCTCGCTTCTTCTTCAGCAACATCCCTCCTCCTGCAGCTAGAACCCACCATAGTCTGCAATAACCCTATGCACAAGTTTATGGTCACTGGATCTGCATAAGTGAAGACTCACTGGCATTCGCCAACCCACTACCTTCAGGCTTCCCCCTGGCACCTGCTCCAATGCCACACACCACTTCTGTAGTCGGGTTTCTCCATGGCACTTCCACTGATGATTTCACTTTAAGTAAATATAGCTAACGTGGCAACGGCAGATTTGCATCCATCAGCTGAAGATTTGGGGAAAGGCCTATGAGTGGGGCTACACAGGACATTGATACTACACAGGGTTTCAAGGTATCCCTTTATGACTCCTGAAAATCATTACATTTGTCATGCTGAGGAACAGTGTGGATTTTGTGAAGGATTCAGTTGTTAAATTACCTTGGCTACATCGATTTCTGTGTTGTGCTTCTCACATGACAGATGAGGGGATATATGGTGTGGAAGTTCCGTGCAACAATGCTCTGTTATTATAGAGAGAGCAGAGACACTGGCTGCTGCTGTAGGCTCATTCATTACCAGAATCAAGAGACTCACATAATGTTCCTGCAGACATTCCCCCTTATCTTTTATAGACAGCCTCCGGTGAGATCAATCAATTTTTACAACAGCCCAGGGAGTGATTCTCTCCAGCGCATGCTCTCCACCTTATGCCTTAACTAGACACTGATAAACAGGGCTCTGAACCTGGCTTGGAAAAGCAGCTTAAGGAAAAAGAATCTGTTAAGACCAATTTGAGATGAGCCATCAGGAAAACTCTTCTGGGACAAATGGAGGAATAGTGGGGATGACACAGCTAGGGTGCATCTATGCTCAAATGCTGGCTAATGACAGCTTTCTGAACATCAGGACTCTCCTGATGATGACGACACATGGACATACATCATCAGCTACAAGACCAGAGGATAAAGAGACCCATCCTACTGGTTAGGAATCTCAAGATTCGTGGCACAATGATGGATTCTACGGTAACCAGCCTTGCCTTAGCTATCTTGTTACCTACGATCACCAGGCTCAACACATCACTTACTTCCTGCTGATTTTCATGGTAATACTCCAGAACACTGCATAAGCACAGTCAAAGTGCACAGGGATGTCAAACTCAATCACAGAGGGCCATGTTTTATTTTTAATTATGGTTCATACATTTATGAAAACATACTCAATTCATCCAGTGAGTGGGGTTTGTACAAAACCAAGGGTAGAATATGGCCCTTATGTACTAAATACTGTAAATAAAAGTTTAGCTTAGTTACTTGTTTAGTATCTTATAGTCACAACCACATCACTCAGTAGGAAAATACACCCACCCACAGGAGCAGTGCTGTTTATGTCCCTCATTGCTTTTCATTCTTCATCCTTCTCAGTTTTTCCTCCTACGTCTGTCTCTCCTTTCTTCCCCCTTCACTTCCTTCCCTGCAGCATCAGTTCGCACCTCTTGCCCATTCACTAAGATCTTCAGACATGAAAAAGTGAATGCTGATATCTAAATGTAATCAATTTGGTGTTAACCCCCAATGAGTTAAATGGGGGGTGGGAAGGTCATACATCTGAGTCACTCTTTCAGGCTCTCTGCAGACTTAAAAAATACTGCAGCAGGTTACTCTATTAACATATGGATGGTTTTCATCACAGTTATGAAGAGATATGAATCTTTTTGTTGTTGTTAAATGAAATCTTAGACTCTATAAACTCTGAACACCCACACGGGCCCCATAATTCCATAAAGAAAGGTGGGTCTTTGATGCCTTTGCATCAGACCCTAGGTTTAGGGATGGGGAATATCCTCTCCTTGGCTTTTTGGTAATTTAAGCAATAAATTGAATCTGAAAAGAATCAGAACTTTTTTGAATTCTCGCCACTGGATTTTGATGTATCAGGATTTCTTCTTGTAAAATACAATTCATCACAAGAATGGTTTTTCACTTCATTGAATGTCATGTTACTGGAAATGAATACGTTTCTTGGTTAGTGCTCTGGCAAAATGTATTTTGTAAATGTTATATGCTTCATTAAAAAAGCAATTTAAGTACTGTATTTCATTAAGAGGTTACTGCCTATTGAAAGGCCTCAGTGCCAGTATATTTCTATCTACGTGGTAAGCCCCTCCCTGTTAGTAGTCACTTATAATGCTGGAGTCAAAGTCATTTGTGAGAATAACTGACAGAACAAAGGAGTCCATTACTATACTTGTATAATCTATTACAGTATTTAGACCACTGCTGAACTGACAGACAACTATTACTACATCATACAGGAAAGCAAGTAAGCCCGGAATATCGTCAATCAAAAACCTTGCTAATGGAGAACTTCAGCATTGAGCCTCAAAACCCTTTAAATTGCTCAGACAGCTATCTCAAATCCTAGGAATCTATTTCTGTCATCCCTGTTCTCTGCTATAGTAAAAAAATAAAATGTGCCAATTGTTCTCAAACTCAAACTTAGAACGGCAATTGGGAGCTAGATTCTTCTCCTATTAATCTCCATTGACTTTACTGGGGGCAGGATCAGAACCGTTTTCTAAAGTGAACACCTCTAATAACTGCTGTAGCCAATACTCAACACAGTGTCAGCTTTTCAAAATATTAGCTATTGTAGTGTAAACTATAGTAATAAGGAATATCACTGGCTTCTGGGAACCTCCAGGGAGGTGAGGCTAGGCCACCTCCTTAAGAGTAAATGCAAAAAAGTATCATCTGCTCACTTGGCTTCCCATACACCTGTATTCTATTCTAACAACAGGCAGGCTGGTGAATTCCGGCAACACCCAAAAGCAGTCGCCCAGTCAAAAACTTGAAAGAAAGAAGAATTTTCTAGGCCATGAAAAAGGGACAAATATATACATAAAAATAACAAACAATGAATCTGAGGAGAGGAGACAAATATTAACATTACACATTCATAATATATGAATTTTGTTCCTTTTATTGATTGCAAAGTTTTTATTAAAAAGAAATGGTAGCTCTCAAGAGATTAAATACATTTATTTTACTGCCAACCCTTTAGAGGGTACTGGAAAGCAAAATGTACCTTAACATTTTGTAAAAATGAGGTTTTATAAAACTTAAGGCTAATAGAAATGTTTCCATTAAAAAATAAAATCTAATGAAAATAGTTGCAGGGAACATTTAAGTAAAAATAGTGTCTGAAAACAACAACAACGTAGCACTAAAACTGAAATATTGTAATATGGACTGCACAAAATTCAAACTGACCTTGCTGATCTCCATTATGTTAAAGAGAAAAGAAATAAAATTGAAAAAAGCAAAAACATAAAAGGTTTAAGTGCCCCTTTTTTTTTTTTAAATTACATTAGTTTCAGTATTCTGGAAGGTCATTGATTTTAAATGTTTTATTATAAATGTATGATTATTTTAGTTGACAGTGTCCCTCACTTGCAATATTTTTGCTCTTCGTGGGAAAAACTGGGATTAATAATCTCAAATTATTAATTAATGATCTCAAATAATCTAACAAAATTATGCTCTGCCAGTACTAAATGCATCATCTGTTGACATTAAAAAAAAAATTAGTTATGTTTTATTGTGCTTGCAAAAAATTCTTTACAAATATTAAAAAAAAAAAAAGCACAAAAAGCCAGGACTTTGCTCCATTAAAATTGGTACTACAGGATTCTGACAGCTGCAAATTTAGCAGAAATCCTGAATCCACTGTTTTCAGGGTTAAGCAACTACATAGGACTTGACCATGCAAAGCACCATTGAAAGAAACACGGATAGTTAAAGCATTGGTGATGAGCACTTTCGAGAACTGTGCAGTGGTCTGCACGTGGTACGGAGAAATGAATGCAGTTTTGAATCATGTAAGCAAACCTCTATGCCCAGACTGCAATGAGCGCTCATGAATGGGAAAAACGACCATGCCATCAGTAAAGACAGGACATGGTCAGGGAACGGCGTTGTACAGTGGTCATTTTAATTATTTTAAGACGGTTTTGCTGCCACCCTTAAGTATTGCTGCTTTACACCAAAGTGACTGAGGAGCCAATGTTAAACTGAGAACAGAGGGTGTTATGAGGCCCAGACACAGAAACAAATGAAACTCTCTCTCTCTCACAGCCAGCTGCTCAAGGCCTCATGGCATATGCTAGGGACTGTATTTTTGCCGCCCAACATCCATTCTGTTCAGCTTAACTGCCTTAATGGATCAACAACAACAAAGCCCCAGTGGCTCAGTACTGCCTTCTCTCAGCCTTCCATACCCTTGCAAGATCAATTCCTTCAAGCCTACAGTTTATTTCCTGTCTCTAGCTAGGTTTCTCCACATTCTTGAAATTGAAAAGGAGGCGGGGGTTGGAGGGGAGGGAGGAGTACATGACATTCTTCCAAGAAACAAAATCATCAAACCGCAACAGGAAGTTTTGAAATTTTAGAAAGGCATCTCATGACAATTCACCCTTTAAGTTTGTTTTCCAAGCCACTAAAGAGGCTGGGCATACCCTCACTCAGTGAAGGACAGACTACGTGTTGACAAGTCAATCACTTACAGGAACTTCTCTTCAAAATACAGTCACTGGCACTTTCACAAAAGTTGTTCTTTGGGACTACACTTCATTTTCTTTAACGAACAACCTATATTTAAACAAAACAAAAAAACAAAACAAAAACGCATCAGTGAATCTTCCTCTAATCGAGTGTTGCACTTGTTTCTTAGTTCAGTATTTTTTATGCTTTTTAACCTGGTGGTTCCCAACCTGTGGAACAAATCCTCACGCAGATTATCTCTTTGGTCCTTCTTTTAACCTGTATTTGATCATTTCTGTAAAGACGACTGAATCTTAACAATTCCACACCTGCTGAAATACTACAATTGATGGCCCTGACAAAATGTGTCCCTATTAAACAACAGTTTCACTAACACTGTGCAGTAATCACTGCCATTCATTATCATAGCCTAATTAGTCCCCTGGGAGATGCCCCACTAAAGCGAGCGTGTCAAAGCAACACATCCTGATAAAGAGAATTATTCTACATGACAGTACTCTTTTCCTCAAACTCCTTTACAAATTTTTGCTTGTAACATCCACAACAGCTTAAGAGAGAGGAAAAGCACTTTTCCTAAATGAGTAAACTTGCCTTCATCATCCTCCTGATTGGGATATTCTTTCGTGGTCTCTTTCATAGATCTTCTTTGGTTGTACCGCTCTTTTTCAAGGCCTTCTAGCCTCTGCATATCTGCCTGAAGACTTATTTGGAGATCACCGCTGTCCTTTAAGAAGTTCTTTGTCATCTGTATCCTAGTTAAGTTCTACAGCAGCAGCAAAAAAACAAAAACAAAACCACATCTTGATGGAGCCAAAACATTACAATATAAGCTTCTTCAACTATCACACTTTCTTGATACTTGCTCTCTAGCATATAATTTCCACATCCTCTAATTATAAAAAGGCTTTTTTGTTGGCTTGTTTAGGATTTCTGCATTTTCTGGCCAGAAATATAGAAAGAATCCTGCTATTAGACTCTTATTTGTTTTAAATATACAGTGTTGTAGCTGTGTCAGTCCAAGGACATTAGTAAGACAAGGTGGGTGAGGTAATATCTTTTATTGGACCAACTTCTGTTGGGGAGAGAGACAAGCTTTTGAGCTTATACAGAGCTGACCTGAAGAACGCCGTGTAAGCTGGAAAGCTTGTCTCTCTCACCAATAGAAGATATTACCTCACCCATCTTGTTTCTATATATTTTAAGAGCTAATTTGTTTTAAGCTTTTTTTAGAGCAAAAGCTGGTGAGTGGGAGTGTAGCTTCAGCAAAACGAGGACAGAGAATGTGGGAAACACGTGAAGCTGAGGGCAGGTTGCCTAACAATTCTCAGCAGAGAAGAATTTAAACTCAGATAGATCATCTTTAAGATACTGGTCCACGTAAAGGGCTTGTTTGGACCATCCCTGTGGACAAAGGATTTTTATCATGTAAGCAGGTAACAATTTGACAAAGGCAGGTAATCGTTGATGCAAGATTGGACTGTAAACCTGCCTCTGTCAATGAAGTCCGAACAGCTTCACAGCAAAACAAATCCACTGCGCATCTTACCAAACCTGTTATGGCACATGCACTGTACATTTTACATTTAGGTAATACTTAGTCCTGCCTTGAGTGCAGGGGACTGGACTAGATGACCTCTCGAGGTCCCTTCCAGTTCTCTGATTCTATGATTTTATTGTCTCAGACTTTAAACTATAATCGTAGATTAATATTCTGTTAAAGTGGAGTGACACTAACAAAGAGCAAGAAAATTATAGCTTATGGTCGTTACAGTAACCTTAATTCATCCGGACTCATCTCTGTGTGTTCTAGCACATGCTACATGTATTTGAATGTATATTCCCAGTTCATTTCTCCTCTCCCCACAGGCAAAAAAATTCAATGCAAAGACTTAAGGCTATCTAAACTCTCTATTTTTTAAAAGCGAGGGTGAAATGAGTTAAGTAAAATTTATTTGTAAGATATTGGCCTATTTACAATTTCAATTGAAAAAAACATTCCCAATTTTTGGCAGGTTCCCCCCCTTCATCGTATGATGATGTGAGAGGAAAATCCACTTGCAGTCTTTGGTAATCAAGTCTTCCCTGCTCACAGGGAGGCAGCTCATCCCAGAAGAGATCTTTTCAGATGGTACAAGCAACTGCAGCTCCGGGAAACTCAAGCATGCAGCAAGAAGGGCCTGGGAAAAGCAATTCCCAACTGTGCCAGAGACCAGCAGGGAGCATATACTACACACATGCAAGGAAGCCAAATTACAGCCACTGTGGTGGCCACATCTTTGCACGGCGTGCACATTTAAAATATCTGACAATGTTGAAGGATTTTTTTTTAAATTTAACTATTGTTTAGGATTTTTTATTTGAAAAGGGGGTTCTTTAAAAAAATTCTCGTGGGGTAAGATGAGGATTTTTACATCTGGCGTACAGAAAGAGAACTAGATTTTAAAAAGTTAGAAGCAGCTGATGATGGGAGGAAAATGTAGACTAGGACAAAGGTTCTCAGACTATGTCTGTGGACCACCAATAGTGTCAATTTCAACCTGCGCAATCAAATATTTGGTGACTGGAGGAGGAGGGGAAGAAGGTGACCATGAAAGGATCTCTCTCAAAGCAAACAGGAAAATGAGAGTTGGAAAACACCTAGACCAAAAAGAGATGAATTTGAAACTATGGCACCAGTATTGAAGGGATATTCTCAACTCAGCTTTGGGAGCACAGCAGAAGTGGGGAATAAATATGAAATGGGGGACATGGAGATGATCAGCAAAGGGCAAAAGTCTTTCCCTCTTTTTAAAATGTTTTCTTATGGCTGCTAAGCATATCATGCGTGCTTCTGGGGGTGAGAAGCATTCAATTTATAAGAGAATTATGCATGCTAAATACTTTAGTAAACAATTTTGTTTTTTACTGAAGCATAAAGGAAAGCCAACCTGAGGGCATTTTTCAAAGAGGACTACTCAACTGCAGAGAATATTTTCACTAGCAACAACACAGTTCTTCAAAAACACTTGCAAAAGGTAAAATTGAGTTTGTTCAATGAAGATGTCAATGAGAATGGAAGACTGAGGATAAAGAAATGCCAAGTTTGTTAAACATTTGTTTTACTTCCTAATTTACAGTGGAGGAAGAGAATGAGCCATGTACAGATTGATCACATTTCCCAGAATGAGGGGGAGGAATTGCTGTGTAAATAACAACTGAGACTGTTGAAAAGGGGGGTATTTCTTACAACAGAAAAAGGAGATCCAGACAACATACCCTTCACAGAAGACACTGAAAAAAAGAGATGCTAGAAATTACATACGCATTGGACGGTGTCCAGGTTTCAGGGCCAAAGTTTCACTTACTTTAAGAATGCTTTTTGCTCAAGGTTTCACTTTAGGTTCTTTCCAGGTTACTTGAAGATGCAAGAATGATGGAGAGGTGCTTAGAAAAAAATTCAAAAGACACCCAACAAGTCTGGTTCTATCCCTAGAATAATCAGACCTGTTTATAGCGTTTATCTTCTATTGTGATAAGTCAGATGAAATTTGAGACAGTCTCACAAGGTCTCACAGATCACCAGATGGGTTCAACCAGGTTTGTCCAGGGCTTGGGAATTATTTTACTTGTTTATTTTAATACCTTCTCATAGAATTTAAACTGAGAAAAAAAAAAAATCTTCCTCTCAGCCTGGGTTCAGAGCCTTGTAAAAAGTAAACAATCCTCCCCCCAGTCAAGGCTTACTTGGAGCTCAAAAAGGCTTTGTGCAGCCATGGTTTCAGTCTTGTTTTAAAACAAGAAAGGGGTTTTAGATAGCATGTTCCTCTTCTCTTTGCCTGGAAGGAAGGTTTTGCTCCTGGTGCATGGCACTCAACAGCACCTGGGAGTACCTCCCTCTTCTTAGTATCCTGGGAAATTAATACATAACAGCTGGCACAGTCTGGTTATTCTGACAATCACTAGGGTAACAGCAAGCTCCTGTAGTCTTGACTACAGTCAGTGTTAACCCTCTTTCTGCCAGTCCCTGGAGAGGATCTACAGAATGTGTCACAGCTTTCAGCATGCTCGTGCAAAGCCTTATGTTGAGAGCAAGGTTACATTTTTAAATTTTTCTTGTAACTTAAATAGAGGAGAGATTTAAAAATTCACAGAAATACTGTCAAGGTAAGACTTTTTTTTTTTTTTTTTTTTTAAATACAAAAAGTCTTCCCTTACCTCTGCTACTAACAAAAGGTTAAAGTATTAAAAGCACAATAATTTGAACCTAGTTTACTTTTCTACTTTTGTGGTGTTTGCGCTCTGATTTTTTACATATTTACAACAAGGAAAACTGACTAGTCAGTTTCATTTTGTTTCTGTTAGCTAATACAATGCTCATGTTTGCAAACATGGGAGGGAGATGTTTCTATTTTAAAAAACTAATTTTCATCAGAATAAAAAAAAAGCAATTTTAGGTTTTGTAAAAATGTTGTTTTAAACAAAACTTTTTTAAAATTAAAATTCCCAACAGTGTTTCCTTCAGCTATATATGCAGAAGCAGGTTTTAAAACAATTAGAAGTTTGTGCTAAAAACCTTCAAACTTTTTTTTTTTTTTTAAATGCACCTTTAGAAATTCTGATAACTCAAAACACATAACGCCATTAATTTTAGGACAAAAGTTTAAAGAAAATATAGAACATGTGGAGGGGAAAATTCAGCAAAGATATCTTGCTTGCTTAAGGGAACTGTTCTATTCTAGGTGCAAATATGTAACTGCTATTAATGCTAAAGGGAGTTACATAACTATATCAAAAGAGGACGAGAACATCTTGAAAAGCAGACTATATGGACACATGCATATCAGAGATCTTGTGCACAGATTATTGCCATGTTAAATCAGGGAAATTCAATGTACGTTGTATACAGTATTCACATTTTCAAGCATCTTCTGTACCTCAACTAGCCAGTCTTCAATGCTGAAGTTTAGGAGTTCCTGGAAAGGTGCTCTCAGCAGGCAATCACATTCCATTCCGTATCTCAGCGTCAAACTGCCTAGATGTAGTACTAAAGTGGGAGGTTTTTGGAACATCTCTTATGCTCCTGGAGGGATTTCAAGTTTACTATATGGTAAACTGTAAGCCTGCCTTCACTTGGCTAGCCCTTTTCCAGTAAATATTGGTTTAAACGCAAAAGAGGAATCCTGTTCATTACCCAGAATGAGCCATAACTTCTTTCCTTTAAATATCTGACTAATACGTTAAGTCTTCTTTTATGTTTTTTTAATTTTAAAAGTACCTCTTCAGACAGCATCTCCTGCTCTTCTACCAGAAGATAGATCTCTTTAAGTCTTTCCTTTATTAATTCCATCTCTATTTCACTTATTTGGCTCCCACTCATGCAAACTTCTGTTTCTCCTTCCAATCCATCTGGCTGATCTTCTTCCCCTGGTATATAAACAGCCCAATCCGATGACAGAAGCTGTTTGGTTTATAAGAGGAAAATGAAATAGGTGATTAAATTTAAAAAGGCACTCTTTCTGGTACCATAGAGAGAGCTCCAGTTAATGCTACTGTAATAGAGCAGCCCTTCATTTTGTGGTTTCAGTAGTGTGACAAAGTACTCTAACTATGCAATGAGTTAAGATTAAATAAATCTGTAAATACTTTTCTATAATCTTTATCAGTGTTGCTCCTGGATACTTCTAGCTCCTCATTTCTATAACTGTACAAAGTGAATTTTAGGCTAACTTTTACCTCCAACCCCACAAAGCAAGCACTTGTGGTGTCATGTCTTGATTGCGCTGGGCACCAGGTTAAAGGTCTAGTGCTCTAAGCACATGAAACTGACATATGGAACACCAACTCCATAATTTAGAATATATGGGGGTACATATAAAATGGTTATTTCAGGATTTCAGCTAATTTGTTCCAACATGCATAAGCGATCAAATTTAGGTGTTCTTAAACAGCTGTCTGTACAGAGCTGGCTGATCACATGGTGCTGGCTCTCATATTCCACCAGGAGAAACAGCACGGGGATGGGGTGGGGGGGGACGACAAAGGGAGGAGTAAAAGAAACCGGCTGGATAAAAAATTTTTAGAAATATGATTTTAGAAAAACAGATTATTTAAATCAGATTTTTTAAATTTACATTAAATACAGGTTTATTTTAAAAAAATAAAAGGTGCAGAGAATATTTTTTTCATTTCAGTTTATTCATCTAGTTCAGTTCAATGATTAGTTCATTCAAAGTTAGGAAAACAATGGGATGGGAGTTGAAAAAGCATAAAAGCTTGTTTTCCTTTTTCAATCTATGAATAAAAGCTAGATGTGAGAGGATGGAATCTACTAGTTCTAAAATCTTGAAGGACATGGTGATCAGAAAATCAGTTCAATTCACTAACTACAGATAATACTTCCTTTGTTTAATAAATCAGTTCATTTTAAATGCAAACATATTTTGATAAACTTTTCTCATGTATCCAGCACAATTAAGATAGTTTTATTTAACAAAAAAAAACCAAAATGCTTTTTTAATTGAATTTATATCTAAATAGAGCTTGACAGAAGTAAAAAAATCAATGTAGTAAATAAGAAATGCACCATTCACCATTTTCTAATAAAAAAATGTAAGTGTTAAGAATCTGAATAAATGTCTGTTAAGCTCTTTAGTTGCTTAAATAAATGTGTATAAATATAGCATATGTTCTTGATTAGCAAAAAAGATGTACCACGTTTAGTACAAAGGCTGTATTTAGTTGCAAATCAATATGTTTTAATGGTTCCCAACCAGTGAAGCTCAACCTTTCTTTAGGAAAATAACTAAAAAGTATAAATGCAATGCAAAACAAAATTAAAATCAATTATTTAAATTCCTTTGAGTTAAATGAAGCCACCCTGAAAAGGAGAGAATGTGAGTAACTCTTTTTGAAAAGTACAAAGCATTTATCATTCCAAAGACAGAAACATAAATATGTACTTCCATACACCTGCTGTTATTTTTCATGTAAGAAATTGCTGTGGCTGCCTCAGGGGTGTTATGCAACAGAAAAAAGATGGGGAGGTGGTCCATGTGATGGAGAATGGGAGAGGAAGAGATGCCTGAAATAATCTGTCCATTGTGGTATTGTTCACACTATCAGAGGCTGAACCCCCTTGGTGTGATGGTCGTTATACCGTGCCTTTTAACCCCATTCATTCCCTTTTCTCTCTACCCTTTTTTTTACACAAAAGTCAGTCTTTTGGTAGAGATTGGTGATAATGTGTATAAAGGAAGCATCTATGAAAACTACACTGTATTGTGTAATTAAACAGCTCAGAACCATTCTCAGTCTGTAGCCTAGGTCCGAAGACATAGGACAGACCAGGGCTGTATCTCTTGGACATTTAGGGGTACTGCCTACCGAGTGTCAGAAGTTATCAGCTTGCTGTGGTGACAGTTTTAGAGTTTACATATAGCCCTTATAGGGAAGAATGAAAGAAAAGTAATTTTGTTCTCTCTAGTGCCGCTGCAAGAGCTTGTTTAATGGGCTTTGTCACAGTTGAGGGCAACTGCACCTGTAGTCCCTGTGTGGTCCAGCAACAGCACCCACATTTCAGGCTTACAGTTCCAGCCGTTGCCTTTCTTGGGCAGAGACCGATATCTCACCCTGGTCAGAATGGAATATTTCTAGGCTGCACAGTTCCCTGTCTTCACTGTGTTATTCCCAGCAGAGACAGGCTGCCCAAGCACAGTTATTTGCTTTCTCTTCAGAGACTGATAAGAGTGATGGTCAACAGTTGTATGTCACCTCACAGCTCTTTTTATGCAAGCCTTCTTTATTCTTAAGGTAAAAGCACTACCGAGAGAACATATTGAAAACAATAAAAGAAGCTACATGCATGCGAATAAGTTTACCAGAGATCACCCCAACTGCACCATAGGCTTCAGTCCTTCAACACTTTACCACAGGATTTCTTGTTGGATACAAGTTCATCATCGCCTCAGCTCAGAACTAGTATGCAGTCTTATGTGGCCTCAGCAGGCCCAGTCTTTCCAGCCCTACCCTAAGAATTGGGGCCCTCTGTGGATAGGGATCTTGTCCATTTGCTGGATCAGGAAGCAGAACCTGAGCCAGTTTAAAACCAGACTATTTATCAAAAAATCCTTTCTTTGCCTGTTGGTCCCTGGAGAATCCAGTTTGAACTAGTATATTGCAACCTCTCCAAGGGGTAGCATCAAAGGTCTGATAAGGGAGGAGTTTCATTAGCATTCCCATCCTGCCAAAGCAGGTGCATATAATGCCACAACAGCACATACAGTGGACCCAAAGGTAGTAAGCCTAATTCAGTAAGGTGTGGCTTAATTCTATAAAGTTCATTCAGGATATTGCAGAAAATTGTCAATCGGTCACAGGCTCAAAAGCCTATTTTAATAAAACCACTCTATTCTGTCGATTAGTAACAGAAAATAAGCAATATTAACAGTGACTTAAGCCCAGAAAACCCTACCAACATTTCCACTTATCAGGCAACATGATCAATTTCAGTTCTTTTCTGCACAGACCAATTCCTCAAATGAATATTCCCTTAAAACCACCTTCCCAACTGCCGCTTAAACCTGTTGGCAAATAGGTGGGGTGGCGCAGGAAACCTTTCATTTTATCCCCTCATCCCACCACATTGTGCAGCAGCCACATATAAAAGTAAATACAGGTCTATATAACCTCTTAAACTCCTGAAAAGCAGCTGTAATATTTAATATTGGAAGAAGTAATAAGTTGGATGAACATGCCAACTCCCCTATGATCTCTAGATATAAACAGGTAGGACAAGAGCATGTGTAGAAGAATGAGATACTCTGGGGCATGGAGCTGGTACTTGTGTAGAAGACAGAGTCGAGAGGGATATCTGCGCTGCGAGTAGTGTGGTCTCACCCAACATCAGGAGGAGGATTAGATAAATAACTACTTCTAGACTGGGTAGAAGATAGATGGATGGGGCAGACTCAGCTCTGTTGCTGACAGTAGTAGAGAGAGGATTGCATTCAGAGGGCAAGGTAGGAAGATGCTGTCTCTTCAGTACAGAGAGGAGGGCGAGATAAGTCTCTGATCTGTATATGAATATGAAGAGACACGCAGGTTAGCGTAGCTACCTCATAGAGGGAGGGTACATTGGAGGAAGGAGCATGGATGGTTGCATAGGAGGAACAAATGGCCCAGCAGTCCAGGGACTGGGGAAGCTCAAAGGTGGCATACAGCTACCTCTGCCACACCAATCAGGTCTTGTGCCAAACAGAGCTTGGATGGACGGTAGGATCAGGGCCAAAACATCTGGTAGAAAAGGGCTGTTTCCCGCTCAGCCTCACAAATATTTGATTTACAGTGGTGAGTTACCATTGACCCAGAACCTGCAAACACTGGAGAGTAGTGCTTCCTATGATGAACAGTCCCATTGACGGAAGGTATTTGACTCTTTTTGTAATGTACAATGAGACTGGACATTTAAATAAACAGAGTAGAAAAATATAAACCCCCAGTGAAATTTCAGAGACTTTTAAAAGTCCTTGCAGATTTCTAATGTACTGGATTATATCTACAATTTATAACAAAAAAACTACAGATCAGAATTATTTCTTTTACCTTTTCTATCCTTGTACTAGCAGTCATAACTTCTGGAACATTCTGGAGTTCCTTTAATAAATTCTGAATCTTCTTTTCAAACTCTTCCAACCATAAAGAAGAAACTTTCATTTCTGAAGAATGCATTAATTCATTGCGGCACTTAATCACCTAAACAGGAGAATGAAGAAAAACAGCACTGCTACATGACGGCCATACCCATCCCACCACACAAGCTACAGTATTTTACAGAATATATATTAATTAAAAATAGTTCTTGGAAATAGTCTGGTAGATTTTACCTCTCTGACTTTCTTCTGGTCAATACCACTGAAGTGATCACAAAAGTTGAAAAGGTTTAGAAGAGCAGCTGCATCACACTTGTCTGGTCCAGAAATATCCATCTGCCCACGAGGCATATAAGCCTACATAACAAAAGTGCACGATACCAATGTCATTTTTGGTTTCAGGAAGTACACAAATGTGTGATTTCCTTATCTGCCTATAAGCACTGTTTATGTTTCAAAATGATATTGCCTAAAGTAAATGCAATAAACTAGAACACAATCTCTACAACTCCACTTGCTGCATTTGCCAATTAACAATGTGTTCAAGCAAATGGTTATTTCCTTCACAACCCTTAAATCTTTCCCTACTTGATTATTTGATTCTGCAATGAAGTCACAATGCTAAACGAACACTATAACACACTGTATAGTTATACACACTCATGACTTCCCTGCATCACTAGGGAGTTGCACACTTTAAAGCTTGTGTCGGCTCAGCTCTTCCCTCCATTCCCCGCATGAGCTTCTTTTGTGCCACCCTCCTATCCCCCTCTATTTCAGGGACACCCCGCACCTCCAACTCCCTCCTTCATGCCAGGGGCTCTGTGTTCCCTCCCACCATCTATGCATCCAAATCCCCTGCCCCCAACCAGGTGCTCTGTGCCCCCCTTCAGGGGCACCGGAACAGAGGGGGCCCAAGGGCCATGGCCCTCTAACTTTTGAAAGTCTTCCACTTTTCACCACGGGTCTGGATCCCTGTCCCTCCTCTTCCCCCCCAAGGCCCCACCCCCAGGCTAGATCAGAAGCTGGAGCCCGGTCCAGGGAGCCCGGGCAGCTGTGGGGACCCACCCCTCCACCTGCCTGGGGCTGGGGGGCTCGAGAGCAGCCCCAAGCCTGTGTCCCCACCCCAGGCAGATGGAGGGACCCGGGCTCCCCAACTCGGCTCCAGCTTGGCCAGGGGCCATGGAGGGGACAGGGCCTCGTAGCTCCACCACTTTTAGGAAGAATCCATTGCCCCTGCACCCCACTCCCCCATGGAGTAAGAGACAAGTCATTCAGGATGTCAACATCTTAAACTGTATTGAGAGGCTGGGCAGAACTGAGATGGGGGGGGGGTATTGTTACAATGGAAAGAGTTAATGGCTGCCATCAACCAGTTCTTTGATCTATGGTTCTCAACCAGGCGTAGGTGTACTCCTGGGGGTACGCAGAGATCTTCCAGGGGATACATAAACTGATCTAGATATTTGCCTAGTTTTACAACAGGCTACATAAAAAGCACTAGTGAAGTCAGTACAAACTAAAATTTCATACAATGATTTGTTTATACTGCTCTATATACTGTATTTTACGGTAGCGTGATGTGCAGATAAAATGTATGTCGAATACATTGTGTATGTCATTTACTGACGCGTACAAGAATGTTAATGAGGTTGAAGTTGTAGTTTTTAAGTGAGGTGAAACTTGGGGTACACAAGACAAATCAGACTCCTGAAAGAGGTACAGTAGTCTGGAAAGGTTGAGAACCACAGCAAGAGACCATAACAGATCTGATTAAAGTTGCTAGGTCTGCTAACCAGATGCCAGGGCATCATGTGTTCCCTATTTCACCCTTTTGCTTTTGTGATTTTCACCAAAAAAAAATTGATATTCTCCCCACCAATGCCTGGAATATTCCTTGAAATTTTGCAATTGATCTGATGTAGCACTGAAAAGTTATCGCCTTACAGACAAACAGATGTATCCCATCAAGTTGAGCACAGAGCTGTGCAAGTTCAGCCATTCGGGTGGGAGATTAGTGAGTGAAGGGAAAACGATATTTTAAATACACATATCTGCAATAGCAGACAAAACCAGGAAGTTTTTTTTTGGTGGGGAGGGGGAATATTACTTTTCACTTCAGATGCTTTGTTGTTCACGTGTACCAGCACATCATACCACCCCTGTTCCCAGAACACTACCCAGCTACAATATCCTCTAGAATGAAGCACTGGGATTATATGGGGACTTTACCCTGGGTTAACTGCCTGCCTGCACAGACCACCACCACCAACACATTGGTTCAGACAGATGAAGTAGCCTAGTTAGTATAAAAGTTTGTGTGTTATTTTGCTACTTTTAAGGGGTTTCCTTTTTTAATTAAATAGTTTAAACTGAACTTCATCTTTTGATGCACAAGCTTCACTTTTAAAGGATTTCTTTAAAGAGATCTGTGAGACTACAAGTATTTATTCCATTGAGAATTTAGATACATTACTGAGTACTTTACAGACCATGTTTCAGTCAGTGATTATTTTAGAGGATGTTCAGCAAATCAGGAAGCAGAGCAGAAATGCCAACAATTTTGCATGGTACCACTGAACTTTACAACACTGTAAATATTACCAAATACTATTCCTAATACCTTTTCATTATATTTCTTTGGGCTGAACTAAGAAATATTGCTATACACTGGCTTGGATTTAAGCCTAGTCAATGTGTTTTCAAATCCAGGATGAAATAAAAATGAAATCAAGTTGGTTAAGCCCAAAAGGGTAGTGACTTGGATGCTCAGAACATGGAAAAGCACAAGGTTAGCCACTGAAACCTTTCCTTTTGTCTACTGTTAGCAAGAAAAAAGGACAATACATGTGCAACAGTTTGTTCTCCAGGGATGAAATCCTGCCCCCACTGAAGACAATGGGAGTTTTGCCATTGTCTTCTACAGGGCCAGGATTGCACCATACATCCAAATCCTGCCCTGACAGACTCCTATCCAGCCAAACTGAATTCATTATGGAACCACACGTGGATGAAACTGAGGACATGAGCTGACCCCAAGTGTGATTCTTCTAAACAATGAATTTAATTATATTACCTTTGCAAGTTCCCATGAGTTAGAAGGCCAAAGCCAAGGTTTGCAGTTTCCCCAGTGAACTTCTCCATTCCTGTTGGTGTGATGATTCAAAATCTCCTTTTTCCACTCTGTGCACAGTGAACAGCTGGACTGAAACTAAAAAGAAAAAAAATAGGAAAGAAACCAATGTAATTTACCTTAGTACTTGCACCCTTTAAATTACACTTTAAAAAGTGCACAGGGTTATTACTACATTGCAGCAGAGGCTAGAAAAAGGATTCAAGGAATGTTCATTCAGAAATTTGATCAAATGCACAGATTCTCATATGCAGAGCGCTGAACTGTTACGCAAAGATGTAATTGAGAATTTCGGTATAATAAATACAGTAGGTTAGGGCAGTAGCCTCTCACCTCTAGAGACCTGGGTTCAACGAGAGTCAGGACTCAACTGGAAATGAGTCTGAAGCTTCTCCTATCCAGGGTTAAGGCCAATGCTAACCAGATGTCTCAAATGAGGGTTGCGTGACAAACCCCGTGGTGAAAGAGAAGAATGCTTTAACAGCAGAATTTGAAGTTATGCATTTTTTCCTTACAATTTACATTAGGGTTAATAAAAGACATATCTGAACATGGTTGAATCCTTACGGAATTTTCAACTGGGAAGGATGTCCTAACAGCTAAAGCGTATAACAGTTTATTCCAATTTAACTTTTCTGATTGTTCTTTCTACATGTGCACGCACATACAAACCCTCCTCCACCTTTGTCATTAACTTTGTGGGGCAGAGGGATTAAATGTGTATGTGAATTAGACTGTAAACTCCCCAGGGCAGAAACTTTGTTTTATTTGTAGGTCTAATATAGTACTCAGCACTCTTATAGGGCTGCACAAATAAATAATTGTGGGTGGCACTGAAGAACACTAAAGTGAATGTTTGTTATCTTGAATTATGTTACAGAGTTTATTTGTTTTTTAAATGTACTCTAACAGAGAGGATCAGTGAACTGCCAGCTCTCAGTACATTGTTTCTGGTATGTAATAATAGTGATTATTATTACTGGATATTATGGAGTCACAGGTCATGCTTCCACAGTTGAAGTTGAATTTAATTTTGCACTTAACGCAGAAATTCAACCTCTTTGTTATGTATGAAAAACACTGTATATCCTCTACAAGACTATGGAATTTACTCTGAGCACAGAATGAATTTTCTGAGCATGCACAAGTAAACTCATTCATTAGGTTCTATTAATTAAAATAGATACTTTAAAATATTCATCCTGTCTTAGTCCTTTTTGGCCCTATGAGCTTAATAATGGAGTATGCGGACACCATCATAACAACAATAGGATCATGATTAAGGCATTTGAGAATGTAGTCCCAGATTAGACTAAACAGATTTTTAAAAGACATTTTATTTATTTAATTTCTTCATGGTGTTACTATAGAGCAGCCAAGCTAGTTTGGGTGCCCTTACTGCATTTCTATACCTTAATTTGTTTGGATTTCTTTTATATCTAAGCATAACTCTGAATTTCCTGGGTTGATAATGCTTGTTTTTAGATAATTACAATATCCACAAGTGGTATCTAACACAATGTTCATACTTCTACGTTACTGTTACAATAAATTAACATGAGTGAAAAGTAGATGAAGAATCTCATTATGGTGCTTAGGGGAAGCTTTCTTCACAACATTAAACTACCCTACATAGATTGGCACAAGCATCAGTTTTTCCTCAGAAGAGTACTAAAGAAGCCATGTGAGAAGCTTCCACTATGCCCAACCCTAGCCAGTACTACTAAACCTTCACTTTCATGTGCACTAACACTTACTACAGTAGACCCTCAGAGTTACAGACACCTCGGAAATGGAGGTTGTTCATAACTCTGACATGTTCTGTAACTCTGAACAAAACATTATGGTTGTTCTTCAAAAGTTTACAACTGAACATTGACTTAATACAGTTTTGAAACTTTACAATGCAAAAGAAAAATGCTCTTTTCTCTTAATTTTTTTTAGTAGTTTACATTTAACACAGTACTGTACTGTATTTGCTTTTTGGGGGGAGGGGGTCATCTCTGCTGCTGCCTGATTGCGTACTTCCACTTCCAAATGAGGTTTGTAATTGACTGGTCAGTTCATAACTCTGAAGTTCTATTGTATTCACCCTTCTCTCTCTTTGCTGGAAACTAAAAACAAAAGTTTTATCGCTGTCAAGCGCTTAAAAAAATTAATCGTGATTGATCGCACTGTTAAACAATAATAGAATACCATTTAGTTAAATATTTTTGGATGTTTTCTACATTTTCAAATATATTGGTTTGAATTACACCACAGAATACAAAGTGTACAATGCTCACTTTTTTACTTTTGATTACAAATATTTGCATAGTAAAAATAAAAGAAATAGTATTTTTCAATTCATCTAATACAAGTACTGTAGTGAAATCTCTTTATCATGAAAGTTGAACTTACAAATGTAGAATTATGTACAAAAAAACCTGCAATTCAAAAACAAAACAATGTAAAAGTTTAGAGCAGGGGTCGGCAACAGTAAAACATGATTTACTGTTGCATGCTGCTGCCCGCCTGGGGTCCCTGCCGCCGGCCCTGCTCAGCCCGCTGCCGGCCTGGATGGACAGAACCCCGGGCCAGCAGCGGACTGAGTGGGGCCAGCAGTCAGGACCCCGGCTGGCAGGGGCTGGAACCCCAGACTGGCAGCGGGCTGAGCCACTCAACCCGCTGCCGGCCTGGGGTCCGGGCTGCCGGCCTCACTCAGCCCACTGCCAGTCTGAGGTTCCATCCGCTGGCCCCTGTAAATGTAAAATGTATTACTGGCACGCGAAACCTTAAATTACAGTGAATAAATGAAGACTTGGCACACCACTTCTGAATGGCTGCCGACCCCTGATTTAGAGCCTACATGTCCGCTCAGTCCTACTTCTTGTTCAGCCAATCGGTCAGACAAACAAGTTTGTTTACATTTGCAGGAGATAATGCTGCCTGCTTCTTGTTTACAATGTTACCTGAAAGCAAGAACGAGGGCTCACGTGGCACTTTTGTAGCCGGCTTCACAACATATTTACATGCCAGATATGCTAAACACTCACATGCCCCTTCATGCTTCAACCACCATTCCAGAGGACATGTGTCCATGCTAATGATGGGTTCTGCTCAATAAGAATCCAAAGCAGTGTGGACTAACACATGTTCATTTTTATCATCTGACTCTCATGCCACCAGCAGAAGATTGATTTTCTTTTTGGTGGTTTAGTTCTGTAGTTTCCGCATCGGAGCGTTGCTCTTTTAAGACTTCTGAAAGCATGCTCCACGCCTCGTCCCGCTCAGATTTTGGAAGGCACTTCAGATTCTTAAACCTTGGGTCAAGTGCTGTAGCTATCTTTAGAAATCTCACATTGGTACCTTCTTGCGTTTTGTCAAATCTGCAGTGAAAGTGTCCTTAAAATGAACACGTGCTGGGTCATCATCCGAGACAGCTATAACATGAAATATATGGCAGAATGTGGGTAAAACAGAGCAGGAGACATACAATTCTCCCCTAAGGACTTGAGTCATAAATTTAATTAATGCATTATTTTTTTAACGACCATCATCACCATGGAAGCATGTCCTCTGGAACGATGGCCAAAGCATGAAGAGGCATACGAGTGTTTAGCATATCTGGCATGTAAATACCTTGCAATGCTGGCTACAAAAGTGCCATGCGAACACCTGTTCTCACTTTCAGGTGATGTAAATAAGAAGCGGGCAGCATTATCTCCCGTAAATGTAAACAAACTTGTTTTCTTAGTGATTGGCTGAACAAGAAGTAGGATTGAGTGGACTTATAGGTGCTGAAGTTTTATATTGTTTTGTTTTTGAGTGCAGTTATGTAACAAAAAACAAACACACCCTATATTTATAAATTGCACTTTCACAATAGAGATTGCACTACAGTACTTGTATGTTGCGAATTGAAAAATACTATTTCTTATCATTTTTACAGTGAAAATATTTGTAAAAAAATATAAAGTGAACACTGTACACTTTGTATTCTGTATTGTAATTGAAACCAATATATTTGAAAATGTAGAAGAACATCCAAAAATATTTAATAAATTTCAATTGGTATTCTATTGTTTAACAGTGCCATTAAAACTGTGATTAATCGTGATAAATTTTTTTAATAGCAATTAATTTTTTTGAGTTAATTGCAAATTAACTGTAATTAATCAACAGCCCTAATCACAACTGATCTTCAAACAACAACAAAAAGATATCTAGCTCTGTATAACGGCTATGTATGCCATGCAAAGAGACAGGAGTTTGAGAGCAAATACAAGGGTCAACAAGGCTTTAGGCAGTTAAGTGCCTAAGGAGCAGGGTAGAGACCCAGTCAGTCCCATAGCACTCTCTGCTGAGCCAATATTGGACTCAGAAATTGAATGGCTGGGATAATAATGGACCATAAAACTGAATTAGAAAGCAAAGAAATTCTCCATCTCTGAATTTCTTGTCTAACATCCCACCTAGAACTTCTTTTCTGAGCTAACCAACAGGAACCCCGATGTGAAGGAAGGAGGGAGGGCCCAATCCTGCAGCTTTCCGGGGACTGTAGTCGCTGATTAAGTAAATGAAGTTGTGCAGGTAGCACTGCGAAGTCTCTCATGTAGGTCTGGAAGAGAAGCAGCCCCCCCACCCCCACTTTAAGAACTAAGGTACTCAAAAAATGAGTGAACTAGACAAGGAGAAAAGGATAATGGTCTAACAACACAGTGCTCACAACTCTGTGCTCTGCTCCTAAACTCCAACACCTCCTCCCAAAATCAGCCTAGTTCCTCTATTTGTTGGTGCTGATTTAAGCAGCAGTGCCATGCATAACATTGCTGATGCCAAGTGTTCAAAATTCACGAATCAGTCCTCTAAAAATCATTAGAATTTTAAAAAGCAACATGCGGGGGGGGGGGGCGGGGGGGGGGAAGAGGTGTTGCCTGCTGGTTCTCGAGCCTTCAGGCTGCTCTCAGATCATGTTTTCAAGGTTTTCTCTGCAACCAAGAGGGCTAAAAACTTAGGTCAAATGACAGTCCAGAATCTCTCATCATCACCACACTGCAGAAACTGGAGCTTTAAGAAAACTGTGCTCACTAGACGCACAATGACATCACCAGAGCTGGCCATGCTGACTTCCTACCGGCAGTGCAAGGGTGGTGCTCTCCACGCGGCACAGGCTTGCCAACCTTGCAGGAGTGTCCTGGAGTCTCCAGGAATTCAAGATTAATCTTTAATGGCAGACTGTCACGTGACGAAGTCTCCAGGACCACATCCAGCCCTAGCAGGGGGCTGGGGCAGGCTGGCTACACACCGGGGTAACAAAGTGCACAGGCTGAGCCTCGCGCCCCTGAGCGGCGGGGAGGGTCTGATGGGCTGTAAGGGACCCGCTCCCCGCGATGGACCCCCAGCACTTGGGCGCTGCCTGCAGCCCATCAAGAGCCACCTCCCCGCCCCGAGCGCGCTGCGGGCTCCGGCTCTCACCTGCCTGCCCCGGGGAAGGCAGCGGCCGCGGCAGAGGCGGCCCGGGGGCGCCAGGCGGGCGGGGCTGCGGGCGAGCAGCTGGCGGTGGAAGGCGCGGAGCTGCTCCCCGGCGAAGCGCTGCAGCGCGTCCCGCAGCAGCACCAGGCAGTGCCCGGCCTTCACCCAGTTCTTGTACTCGGCGCAGTTCAGCCGCGCGGCCAGCTCCGCCAGCGCCATGGCCCGCGCCGCCTGCCGGGGAGGTGGAGGCCGGGCTCGGCTGGCCCCGCCCCGGCTCCGCCCTGCAGCTCAGCCCGGCGGGAGGCCAAGCGCCGTCCAGCAGAGCCCGCTGAGAGCCACGCGCACCCCAAGGAGAGAGGAGCTGCAGCGAGGCGAAAGAGCAGGGCCAGGCTTCAGTGTGGAAACAATCCTGCGTTTTATTTTAAATACAGGTGTTTAACCTGGTTTTTCAGCACCTGGGGTTGGAACCCTAGTCCGGAGTGTTGTCACGCCCCTGCCTGCCTGGAAGGAGGAGGGCTCAGGACTTGTATCTACCACCACCACCACCGTCCAGGTTCTCATGTAACCGCATCATTCCGGCAGCTGGAGCTTTCAGAGAAACAACTCTTGCACTTCGCATACTGAAATGACAAGATAAGCTTCAGAGGTTGTACTTGCAGGAGCCATGATTAGTCCGGTAAGGGTGAGGTTTACAAGAATAGGCCCTTCCAGGTCAGCTCCAAATGCAAATCTCATCTCCCAGCCTCTGCTATACTCTACCCCTAGATTACCCTGCATTGTTAAGAGAGGAGTGAGGATGGGGAACACCATGTCAATGAACCGCTCTGATAGCACAGCAAGGGATGGTAATTTGGATTATGATGCATGTATGTTAAAGGTGGATTTAATGATATTGCTACTTTGAAGGAAAGACTAGGACAATAAAGAACACAGCCCAAGCATAAGGTGCCACATTCCCAAAACATTGCAAAGTCACAACCCCATGACAGAAAACCCTTAGCAGAACCCTGAACACTTAAGGCCACCCGAAGTTAGGAAAAGCATAAATAAAGCAGTACATCTTACAGCTCAGGCTTAGACATTTATGAAGGAAGAGAACCTTTTATCTTTATGTAAGTCCAGCCAAATTCATTTTGTCCAACTAGAGAAGTCCATTAGCGTAGTATACCTCAGAAAAGTTCTATGCACAGATCCCTGTGATGATTTAAAAATAGCCTACTGAAATGTAATTACAGTGGAATTCCTGGTAGCCACTCAGATTGCTGAATGGCTGACAGACCATTCACCAACATATTGCAAAAAACCCTTCACCCTGTCAGAAGCCAAGTTTATCCATCAGCATGCAGTGTAGTTAAACATTTTCTGCTTTGATAGATGAGCTTATTTCTGACAGATTCATTACATATGCTAGAAACTAAAAATGCTCTAAGCCAATCAGAATGGAGCATGTCAATACTACAGCCAAGAAGAGAGATCACTCTGATACATATTTTTATCAAAATACATGTATCCTACCATCCGTCAGGTGGAATCTACGCTACTCACATAGTACGAGGGAAATAAAAGTAAACAGAGCATTAAGAAGTTTCACTCATCTGCTTTTGAAAATAATTATCCACACTTTGCATAATGGTCTTCCTTAGTATTTGTGCAACAGCAGAAGAATGATCTCAATGTAGTTTCCACTATAAGATACTGTTTTAAAGTTAGTTAAAGTCTGGCAACGTTATAAGTATTTGGAATGAAGTTTTCCATGCTAGGTGTCTGCCTCAATTTATAAAAATAAAAAATTTCAGCCAAAATGCTTCAGCAATGTCAAAAAAAGGAGGGTTGGGAATGATGTATTGCCCATTTTAAAAAAATGCTGGCAATCTTTTCTTTGAAAAACTCGTGTTCCCAAGCTTTGGAGCAGGGACTTGAAATTTGGCAGGGGATGAACCTTTGAGTCAGGGATGTGCCTTTTATCATCCCTGTGAAAACATCCCCAAATTTGACCATGTTATAAGACTTGGGGAGGGGAGGGGGCAGAAGGTGTCTCACCCTGTGCAGTAACTGAGGTTCTTCGAGATGGTTGTCCCCATGGGTGCTTCACTTTAGGTGAATTTGCACCCCTGCACTTGTAATCAGAGATTTTTAACAACAGTGCCTGGTTGGGTCACACATGCACTGTCCTCCATCTTGTGCCATCTCACATGGTTACATAGCGCTGTGCAATCAACTCTCCCTCGGTTTCCTCTCTATTACAGTCTATGGTGCAAAAAAATTCTGAAGTAGAGGGGAAGAAGGAAGGTAGTGGAGCACCCACACGGACAACTCTCTCAAAGAACCTCAGTTACTGCACAAGGTGAGTAACCTTCTCTTCTTCAAGGAGTGTCCCTGTGGGTGCTCCACTTTAGGTGACTGTAGAGCAGTGCCCCTCTATGGAAGAAAGTGGCTTCAGAGTTGCAGTCGTGGCAGATGATAAAACCACAATTACCAGTAAAGAATCTGACAACAAGTGCTGCTCTATGGCATAATGCTGTGTGAACATACGGACTGATGCCCAGATTGCTGCTTTGAAAATGTTCATAATTGGTACATTGTTGAGGAAGGCTATCAAGACAGAGTGCGCTCGGGTCCCTGGTGGGGGCTGTAGCTGTTGATGGCGATAGCAAAGGTAAAAGCATCTGGAGATCCATTTAGACAGCCTCTGTTTGGATATGGCATCCCCCTTAGATCATTCTGTGATGGAAAGAAATAACTTTAGTGACTTTTTGAAAGACTTTGGCCTCTCAATGTAAAATGCTAGCGCTCTTCGGATGTCCAGGATGTGAAGCATTGCTTCTTGTTTATTCCCGTGAGGTTTTGGGAAGAACGATAGGGAGATGGATGGGTTGATTCAAATGGAATGAGGAAACTACTTTAACTAAGAATTCGGATCTGGTCTTAGGGTAACTTTGTTTTTGAAAAATATTGTGTAGGGGGTGTGGCATGAGGGCCCTGTTCTTCTACTCATCGGGCGGATGTGATAGTGATGAGAAAGGCCACCTTCAATCGAGAGGTGGAGAAATGAATGGATGGATTGTGTTGGATGGGTCCAGCAATAGAAAAAGTGGCAGGTGTCTCTGGTCCTTGACCAAACCCTCAATATTGTTGTTTAGAGGTAAGTTATTGGGATGTCGAGGGCTGGGAAGTGAGTGGTCTCCGTCTTGCAGGTCTCTGCCTCTGCGGGTCACATTGCCTCTGAGGGGGTGTGTAGGTCGCAGATCTAGATCTTTGCATCAAGTAATACTTGCCCGATTTTGTGTGTGTGTGTGTGTGTCTCCAAAGATTTGAGTGTTGCTCAAGAGTCCTTCGAAGTGTGAAGGGACTCGTGTTTTGGCTGCAAACAGCTTGGGGCCTTCCAACAGGACACAGTTGGTTGTACCTCTTTCGGAAAACCAGAGAAGTGGAGCCAGGAAGCTTGTTGCATTACTATGAGGATGGCACTGGAATGTGCCACCATGTCTGCAGAGTCCAATGAAGTTTGTAAAGTTGTGCGAACTAGGAGTTGATCCACGGATATAAATGCTTTAAATTGTTCCTTTTTGTCCTCAGGTATGTGTTCAATAAAGACAGACATTGAGTAATCTGAGTTACTGTATTTGGCCATTAGTGCTTCATAGTTTGCGACCCTAAACTGTAGGGCTGCTTAAGAGTAAGCTTTACATCCAAAAAAGTCCAACCTTTTCCAGTCCCTGTCATATGGGCTGGATCTGGAATGGTGTTGTCTGCCCCACTTGGTCACGCCCTCTACCATCAGAGAGTTTGATGGGGGTGTAAAAATAGAAATTCCATTCCCTTGGAAGGGACATAGTATTTTTTAACTGCTCTTTTGCAGGCGGGCAGAATTGTTGCTGGGATCTGCCAGATGGTCTTGGCTGGGTCCACAAGAGCCTCGTTTATTGGGAGGGCAATCTTGGAGGAGGTTGAAGTCTGGACGATGTCCAACAACTTATGTTGGGCCTCCGCAACTTCTTCCAACAGTATCTCCAGGGAATCTGCAATCCTCAAAGTTTTCCTGGAACTGTTTAAAGTCAATCCCTGTCATGGGTGGTGGGGGCATGATAGCTTCATCCGGAGAGGAGGATGTAAAATTGGCATCTGGCGGCATGACTTCCTAATCTGGTCTCCTCCAGTTCCTCGACTGCCTTTTCCAGAGGTCCAGAGGGCCCAGGTACAGAGGGTGATGAAAAATGCCTTGACCTCTCCCTGAGTGGACTGGGAGGCTTAGGGTAGTATGCTGCTCATGGGTCCCAGTAAGGCCACTGTGGTGGAAATGCCATACGTGGCGGCATCCATGGGTGTCTGTACCATCCTTGAGTTTCAGGTCTGGTATTTATGGTGCTCTGGTGGATCTGGTCTTGTAGCGGTGAGGATAGGTGAGGAGTGATGGGACGAGTAGATTTCCCCTTCATCATCATATCATCATCCTCATTGCTAGATGAAGGAGGAGCTGATCTGGGTGGTGTGGTAAGATGGCACAATACCGAGCGTGGTGGAGTAAGGTCGGAACCAAGGAGTGGAGATTCCCGTGCCAAGGAGACTAGAATATCGTAACGGAGAAGAAATCGCTGCGGTACCAAGAGCATCAGTACCAAGGAGGGTGTTGTCAGCCATACCGATGCCTTTACTGCAGTTGTCGGTGACGAGGGTCATGCACCATGTGCTGTAGAGGCAGAAGGTGGCACCACAGACTGTAGCACTGCCAAGCTGCTCAGTGCTGCATGTTTGAGCAGCTCCAGCAGTACCAAGGCAGGGATGATAGTTTCCCTTTAGTGCCTTTTTCCCAGCCAGCCTGCTTAGGGTCTTTGCCTTGCATGGTACCCATTGTACTGGATGGTCCAGCTACCTCAGAGATGAATGGTGTTGGTGCAGTCAGTACCGATGGGGTCTGACGAGTTCGGGAATGTCTTTTTTTGGCAGATTCCTGAGGACAGGAGGTCGGAGACCACTTATTTGTCATCTTTTTGGCAGAGTGTTCCTCTGAGAGGGTGGTGGGGAACCTCTGTCAGATGCCGCCATTGGTGCCCAGGAGGTGTCTGTGATTTCAGACGCTAGACGCAGAGACTTCTCCATCATGAGGAATTTTTGCTGTAGATCCCTAGCTTTCCTGGCACGAGCCTTGAGATTGTGCCAGCGTGAGCACTTCTATGGTATGTCTCGCTCCCCAAGGCAGCAGACACATTGTGAGTGCCCGTCAGACACCAGGATTGAG